TAGGACTCCCATATTTTTTATTCTTGTTACGTACAAACGAGGGTCGAGTAGTAGGGACCCAATGATCCTACCTTGACTTAGTATAACTTACATCATAATTTACTCTATTTTGTCGCTTTTAAAAAAATAAATTATATAATAATAATAGTATATTTTTTAACTACATCTTATCCACCTTGCTTAAAGAAACTATGTTACTATAAAAAAGAAAAAAGAAAAGAAAGGAAGGAAGAGATTACCCTGATTTTTGAGTAAATATTAAGTTATGCCCTATCCTTTATTTTTTTTCACTTATTTAAGGTACCCTCAACCTTTACATTGCTGTTTAAAATTACCCCACCATTAGAATGTTTTGTTAAACTAATGGCTCCCTTATTTCGTCTTTGGTTAGCCTTGACCTTGGAAGGAACTTCCAAGGAAGCCATGAGCCATCAACAAACGCCTTGGCTTAGGAAATTTAAAATTCCAGCACAAAAACTAAGGTATTATTATATTTAGTTAAAAAAAGATTTAATTGTTTCTTAAGAGATATTTTAGTGGTTAAAAATTTAAATCTTTATATTGAAAATCTTAAGTTTAAATTCTATGATGGATATGAAGAGATTTAAAAAGAAAAATGAAATTTATCTTTTATTGTATAACTTACAAAAAAAACTAATAATATAATGTGTGAGTATAATTCGTTAAAAGGAGTTTAATCAATTGTGTCATTTGTAAAGATATGTTCATGTTTTGTTAAGACGTACATCTTGAACAACATAATTTGGTTAGTTCCTTATCATTCAATAAATAGCCTTTGAACATAAATTCTTTGTTTCATGGATCAAGCTTGTTAAGATGTGAACATAATTATATTTCCTTGAATGCTATTTAAATAATATTTCCTTGAATTCTTTTTTGGAGAAAGGATAACCAAAACACAATTTTAACTTGTTTAGTTAGCATGAAGTATGAAGAAGAATCCCATGTAGCCATTAGCCAAAAAAAAAGGGTGTAGTTTAAGGTCACACAAATGTCAATGTTAGCATGCTTCCTACCATGCCAAGTGAATACTGTCCGTTCTTTTTTTTTTTTTTTTTTCGAACTTTGAATCGCTAAACAACCCAACCTTTCCCCAACCATGTGAGGCAACTCTGTTCACCGCTGTGCTATTATACCTCATTTCACGTACTTCTTGTCTGCTTTGGCTAGTAATGACATGACATAGAATTTTAAGCAAATATATGCAAATTAGGTTTGAGTTTTACATTACTTAAATAAGAACAAGAAAAGATTAAGGGTGCTTCAAACAGTAAATCAAAAGCTTGAGGGCATTGTTTGACATTTATGATTTAAGAAAATTGAAAATTAGAACATCTTAGCTTTTTAAATGACAAGATTCCATCCCTCTTAAATTATTCGAAGCCCATAAATCTCAATGACTCTTGCTAATTTATTGATTTATTACATATATCTTAGTTTATTATTATTATATTTAATATTTTAATGGTTTAAAATGTACTTTTTTATTCAATTTCAGTAATTTTAATTTATTATATTTTAATTTTTTATATAAATTTCAGATAAAAATTTAATAATTTATATAAAAATATTTAAAATTTGTTTTCTTATATAAATTTTTTATCAAGTATTTTTATTTAATAAAAAAAATTAATTATCCTTTTTATAGTAATATGTTGAAGTAAATTTTTATATAAAATTTATGTTTAAAAAATTAAAAACTACTAAAAACTATTGTAAAAATGAAGGGAGGGGTAATAATCTTCCTCAATTCTTAGTTTCTTACCATGATTTACCCCCGATTTTTTTTTTCCCTCCTTTTCGCGGATGCCACTTGACCGACAATTGCATTTCAGAACGCAGCGGCAGTACAAAAAGTCAAAATGGCGAGACAATCCTTTTCCTAGCGTAACGCCGTTTTTGGAGACGCAACAATCAAAGAAGAAAGTGAACAAATCCTTCCACTAAAATAGTATACCATGAGCAAGCTGTATGTTGATTCGAATAAAACAACTTTATTTTTTAAAATAAAATTTTGAGTTTTATAGATGGTTGATTTAAATGAAAGAAATTAGATTTTTTAAAATAAAATTTTCGATTCAAATTTTATGAATAGGAAAATAACTGTTGAAAGAATTTTTTATTATAAAATCTGGCATAACTCGATTAATTGAAATCTAATATAAATACTAGATAGTGAAAAATTAATAAAAAAAAACATACCATGCACTCAAAGGTAAGTCCATTATGCTTAATATTAAGGTTAAAATATATATTTAACTATTTATTTTATTAAATTTATAACAGAATCTATTATTACTATGTTAAAATGAAAATAAAATATTTATAAGATTAATTTTTAAAACTTAAAAATATAATAATAAAAAACATACCATGCACTCAAAGGTAAGTCCAT